TTCTAGGCCATACCAAGGCGTGGATTTTTTAAATAATTTTTTTCTAGGCCATACCAAGTCGTGGATTTTTTAAATAATTTTTTTCTAGGCCATACCAAGTCGTGGATTTTTTAAAGAATTTTGTTACTAGGTCATACCAAGGCGTGGATTTTTTAAAGAATTTTGTTACTAGGTCATACCAAGGCGTGGATTTTTTAAAGAATTTTTTCTTGGCCATAGCAAGGCGTGGATTTTTTAAAGAATTTTTTTCTAGGCCATACCAAGGCGTGGATTTTTTAAAGAATTTTTTTCTAGGCCATACCAAGGCGTGGATTTTTTAAAGATTTTTTTTCTAGGCCATAACAAGGCGTACATTTTTTAAAGATTTTTTTTCTTGGCCATAGCAAGGCGTGGATTTTTTAAATATTTTTTTCGAGGCCATAGCAAGGCGTGGATTTTTTAAAGATTTTTTTTCGAGGCCATAGCAAGGCGTGGATTTTTTAAAGATTTTTTTTTCTAGGCCATAGCAAGGCGTGGATTTTTTAAAGAATTTTTTTTTCTATGCCATACCAAGGCGTGGATTTTTTAAAGATTTTTTTTCTAGGCCATACCAAGGTGTGGATTTTTTAAAGATTTTTTTCTAAGCCATACCAGAGCGTGGTTTTTTTAAAGAATTTTTTTCTAGGACATACCAAAGCGTGGATTTTTTAAAGTTTTTTTTTCGAGGCCATAGCAAGGCGTGGATTTTTTAAAGATTTTTTTCGAGGCCATAGCAAGGCGTGGATTTTTTAAAGAATTTTTTCGAGGCCATAGCAAGGCGTGGATTTTTTAAAGATTTTTTTTCGAGGCCATAGCAAGGCGTGGATTTTTTAAAGATTTTTTTCGAGGCCAAGGAAGGCGTAGATTTTTTAAAGATTTTTTTTCTAGGCCAAAGCAAGGCATAGATTTTTTACTGATTTTTTTTTCTAGGCCATAGCAAGGCGTGGATTTTTTAAAGAATTTTTTCGAGGCCATAGCAAGGCGTGGATTTTTTAAAGATTTTTTTTCGAGGCCATACCAAGGCGTGGATTTTTTAATAAATTTTTTTTTTGGATTTTTTTTAAGAATTTTTTCTAGGCCATACGAAGGCGTGGATTTTTTAAAGATTTTTTCGAGGCCATAGCAAGGCGTGGATTTTTTAAAGATTTTTTTCGAGGCCATAGCAAGGCGTGGATTTTTTAACGAATTTTTTTATAGGCCATACCAAGTCGTGGATTTTTAAATAGTTTTTTTTTCTAGGCCATACCAAGTCGTGGATTTTTAAATAGTTTTTTTTCTAGTCCATAGCAAGTCGTGGATTTTTTAAAGATTTTTTTCGAGGCCATAGCAAGGCGTGGATTTTTTAAAGATTTTTTTCGAGGCCATAGCAAGGCGTGGATTTTTTAAAGATTTTTGTTTCTTGGGCCCACAAATAGATCATATCGATATAGGAGTCTTCAACAGATCCGCTTTCCCTTTCATTTGTACCGTTTATCTTTCTGCAACCGTTTCTTCACGATTGAAAACTTTGTATGTGTGTGTTGGTTGCATCGAACTCAATCAAACAACTATTTGTTTTTTGTTTTCGTTGTTGTCGTTACAACGTAAATAGCAAAGTTGTAAAACTCTCGTTTAAGTAAGAACAAGAAACAAAATAAAGCTTCACGTTATTGATTACAGATTGTGTAGCTATGTGTGTTTGACAGTTTGTTCTTGCATTAGTTTGTTTATCCATTATTTATGTCATTAGATTCATTAGCACTATGCGACACAACAACGTTTAAAACAAATGGGAGTACCCTATAATTGGAATCGGATTTTGTTTAAAATATTTTTTTAAGAAATCACAAGGCGTGGATTTTTTAAAAAATAATTTTTGACAAATTTGCAGGCTTGGATTTTTTAAAAATTATTTTTTGACAAATACACAAGGCGAGGATTATTAAAAAATATTTTTTGAAGAATTCACAAGGCGTGGATTGTTAAAAATATGTTTTGAAGAATTCGTGAGGCGAGGATTATTAAAAAAATATGTTTTGAAGAATTCGCAAGGCGTGGATTATTAAAAAAATATGTTTTGAAGAATTCGCAAGGCGTGGATTATGAAAAAAAATACTTTATTGAGAACTGCATAGGGCGTGGATTATGAAAAATACTTTTTTTTAGAACCGCATATGGCATGGATTATTAAAAAAATATTTTTTGATAAGTACACAAGGTCTGGATTATGAAAAAAATACTTTTTTGAGAACTACACAAGGCGTGGATTATTAAAAAAATATTTTTTGAGAACTAAAAAAGGCGTGGATTACTAAAAAAATATTTTATGAATAATTCACAAGGCGTGGATTATTAAAAAAATATTTTATGAATAATTCACAAGGCGTGGATTATTAAAAAAATATTTTTTGAAGAATTCAGAAGGCGTGGATTATTAAAAAATATTTTTTGAAGAATTCAGAATGCGTGGATTATTAAAAAAATATTTTTTGAGAACTACACAAGGCGTGGATTATTAAAAAAATGTTTTTTTGAGAACTACACAAGGCGTGGATTATTAAAAAAATATTTTTTTGAGAACTACACAATGCGTGGATTACTAAAAAAAATATTTTTTTTTTTGAGAACTACACAATGCGTGGATTACTAAAAAAAATATTATTTTTGAGAACTACACAATGCGTGGATTACTAAAAAAAATATTTTTTAAAGAATTCACAAGGCATGGATTTTTAAACAAATATTTTTTAAAGAATTCACAAGGCGTGGATTTTTAAAAAAATATTTTTTAAAGAATTCACAAGACGTGGATTTTTAACAACATATTTTTTTAAGAATTCACAAGGCGTGGATTATTAAAAAAATATTTTTGAGAACTACACAAGGCCTGGATTATGAAAAAAATACTTTTTTGAGAACTACAAAAGGCGTGGATTATAAAAAAAATACTTTTTTGAGAACTACAAAAGGCGTGGATTATAAAAAAATACTTTCTTGAGAACTGCATAGGGCGTGGATTATAAAAAAATACTTTCTTGCATAGAATCACTTTTTAAGTCGATTTATGCATGTCCGTCTGTCTGTCCGTCCTTCCATGTATTTTTGTTAACAAAGTACAGGTCGCATTTGTGATCCGATTTGGATGAAATTTGGCACAGTTCACTTATTTAGCCCAAGGACGAACCCTATTGAAATTGGGAAAAATCGGTTCAAATTTAGATATAGCTCCCATATATATTTTCGTCCGATTTTAGGTAAATAGTGCACCAAAGTCCCTATATATGCTTCGAATTGCACGAAATTTGGCATAGCGTACTGAATTAAGTCTAGAGAGATGTGTGTTAAATTTCGTGAAAATCGGTTCAGATTTAGATATAGCTCCCATATATATTTTCGTCCGATTTTAGGTAAATAGTGCACCAAAGTCCCTATATATCCTTCGATTTGCACGAAATTTGGCATAGCGTACTGAATTAAGCGTAGAACGATGTGTATTAAATTTCGTGAAAATCGGTTCAGATTTAGATATAGCTTCCATATATATTTTCGTCCGATTTTAGTTAAATAGTGCACCAAAGTCCCTATATATCCTTCGATTTGCACGAAATTTGGCATAGCGTACTGAATTAACTCTAGAAAGATGTGTTTTAAATTTCGTGAACATCGGTTCAGGTTTAGATATATATTTTGGTCCGATTTTAGGTAAATAGTGCACCAAAGTCCCTATATATCTTTCGATTTGCACGATATTTGGCATAGCGTACTGATTTAAGTCTAGAAATATGTGTGTAAAATTTCGTGAAAATCGGTTCAGATTTAGATATAGCTCCCATATATATTTTCGTCCGATTTTAGGTAAATAGTGCATCAAAGTCCCTATATATCCTTCTATTAGCACGAAATTTGGCATAGCGTACTGAATTAAGTCTAGAAAGATGTGTATTAAAATTCGTGAAAATCGGTTCAGATTTAGATATAGCTCCCATATATATTATCGTCCGATTTTATGTAAATGGTGCACCAAAGTCCCTATATTTATAAGTAAATGAAGAACTCAAAATGTGGCCGAATGCAAAAAAAAAAAAAAACATACTGAAATAAGTGTAACCTAACATGTGGCAAGTTTCGATGAAATCGGTTTAGATTTCGATATTTTGCTTTAAATTTATTTACATAATTTTGTCCCATTGTAAGAAGCAACTCTATATATGGCCAAAATTTAGTATAGGTTGCAGAATGACATGTTTATGGCTCAAATTTCATTTTACTGGTCCTTCAGTAATGCGACGTCCATTAGGATTCCATCTGTTGGATATACCCAGAGTGGTGAAGGGTATCATAAAGTCGACCCCGTCCGACTTCACTACTTTCCTTACTGGTTCTTTTACGCCCCTTGTCACGAGAATTTTCTAAGCAAAACTTTCATTCTTCTTGCTCGTTGTCCATTTACATTAGGTTGTGAATAAGCGGTGGAAAAAAGCTCGACTTCTAATTTTAGTTTAAAATCTACAATTGTTGCAGTACGTGTCCGAACGTTGGTGGTTGACTAAATTTATGTGCGACATTGAAATAAAATATAAATGAAAAAAAAAGAAAATGTTTACAGATTTTAAATTGAAACCGGTGAATATACAAAAAGGTTTGTCACGTTTTTTGACAGTATTCAAAAAAAATAGAAAGGTAACAAACGGATTGGATTTCAATTGAATCCAAAAACTATGTTCGAACGTTGTAAGGGAATAAAAAAATCGTTTATGGGTTCAAAACTCAGCATTCAATTTGTTATTAGAATTTTTTAATATATTCCCAGCCTCAAACGACCTGTGTAACAAATACCACCCACAACTCTTGCCGAAAATAAAACCTACGTTACTGTCACTCAAATAAATTCATAACATTTCAACCATGTTGTCACAACATTTACTTACATTTCTCTTTGCCATTTCATTTCAATCGTTAATAACCTTTCACATTTTTTCTCTCTCTCCCCTCTTTTATTGCAGATGAACGCCAGGACATCCAAAAGAAAACATTTACAAAATGGATTAATTCACATTTGATTAAAACAAAATGCACACCGGTCAATGATTTATTTCTTGACTTGAGAGATGGCCACCGTCTGTTGGCACTGTTGAGTGTCCTCACCAATACACAACTGGTAAGTTGAGCGAAACAAACAAAAAGGTATTGTCCTTGACAGATCCTTTTAACATAAAAACAGCAAACAAAATTCAAAAACAGTAAATTTAATTTTTATTCTGCCATAAACAAGAAATTCGACGAAAAGGTCAAACCAAAAGAAAATATTGTCATAACAACAGCTTCCATACGACCGACTGCCATTCGGACTGACTGACTGCCTGCCGGATCAACCCAACGACCACCTATTGACAATGCGATTTTGTTAGTTAGCAGGAGACAAAGGACACACTAACCAGGTTAACCATATAAACCAACTTTTGTCGGTTTTTGTGGTTGGACATTGAATTTTGTTTGGAATTGACAAAAAATAGGGGAAACGCGTGGAGGGGAGAGGGTAATAGAATATTGTTTATGATTGGATTAAATAAGTTTGGTAGGATTTGCTCGATAGACGAAATTTGGACTTTAAGAATTTTTAAAGAATATTTTTTCGAAGGACTTGCCCAGGCGTGGATTTTTTAACAAATATTTTTCCAAGTACAATTTAAGGAGTCGATTTTTAAAGAATATTTTTTCCAAGGACTATCCAAGGCGTGGACTTTTTAAAGAATAGTTTTTCCAAAGACTATCTAAGGCATGGATTTTTTAGAGAATATTTTTTCAAGGATTTTTTAAAGAATATTTTTTCCAAGGACTATCCAAGGCTTTGATTTTTTAAAGAATATTTTTTCAAGGATTATTCAAGGCGTGGATTTCTTAAAGAATATTTTTTTTCAAGAACTATTCAATGCGTGGATTTTTTAAATAATATTTTTTCTAAGGACTATCCTAGGCGTGGATTTTTTAAAGAATATTTTTTCCAAGGACTATCCAAGGCGTGGATTTTTTAAAGAATATTTTTTCCAAGGACTATCCAAGGCGTGGATTTTTTAAACAATATTTTTTTCCATGGACTATCCAAGGCGTGGATTTTTTAAAGAATATTTTTTCCAAGGACTATCCAAGGCGTGGATTTTTTAAAGAATATTTTTTCCAAGGACTATCCAAGGCGTGGATTTTTTAAATAATATTTTTCTCAAGGACTATCCAAGGCGTGGATTTTTTAAACAATATTTTTTCCATGGACTATCCAAGGCGTGGATTTTTTAAAGAAAATTTTCCAAGGACTAATCAAGGCGTGGATTTTTTAAAGAATGTTTTTTTTTCAAGGACACTTCAAGACGTGGATTTTTTAAAGAATATTTTTTCCAAGGACTATCCAAGGCGTGGATTTTTTAAAGAATATTTTTTCCAAGAACTATCCAAGGCGTGGATTTTTTTAAAGAATGTTTTTTTGCAAGGACTATCCAAGGCGTGGATTTTTTAAGAGCATTTTTTCCGAGGCCTACTCAAAGCGTGGATTTTTTTAAGAGAAATTTTCCAACGCCTATCAGAGTCGTGGATTTTTTAAGAGCATTTTTTTCCAAGTCCTATCCGAGGCTTGGATTTTTTGAGAGCATTTGTTTCAAGGCCTACCCAGGCGTGTATTTTTTAAAGTATATTTTTTTACAAACCAAACAATATTTAAATTTTCATTTTAAATACCCAACAATGCTACTTAACCTCTAAGCAGCATCATACATCATATCAAATGTAACACAAACATATCGCAAAAATAAATAACCTTCACATCATTTTTTGGCACTTTGAACTTGACACAATCCAAATAGTGAGACACACTCCTAAAAGTATGCTTTACATTTGCACAACTATTCTTAGAAATGATTCTTGTAAAATTTAGCAAACCTCTAAACATTCAGACCAACAGTGTTTGTTGAGAGCTTTATTCGTGAGTGTTCGTTCAGTTGTAACATAAGTATTCCGGTATGTAGTTGAATCAGTTGGGTATGATGTTTGGTCTATTTCCTTGAGTCATACATTTGCCATTCATTCATAAAAGGAAAGCCAAATACTCGCATGAAGACGGATAAAGGACAAAGGTTACAAAAAGTAGAAAAAGCAAGAACGAAAACTAACAAGGTATACATAGAAAGAAAAACTCACCAAAGGAAAATATTCTTTAAAAAATATATGCGGTAGAAACATATTATTTAAAAAATCTATGCCGTTGAAAAATATTCTTTAAAAAATCTATGCCTTCGTAGGCCTTCAAAATAATATTCTTTTAAGAATCTACACCTTCGTAGGCCTTAAAAAGTATTCTTTAAAAATTCTACGCCTTGGGTATGCCTTAGAAAAATATTCTTTAAAACATATACACATTCAGAAGCCTTGGAAAAATCTTCTTTAAAACATATACCCCTTCGGAGGCCTTGGAAAAATCTTCTTTAAAAAATATACGCCTTTTGAGGCCTTGGAAAAATCTTCTTTAAAAAATCTACGCCTTTTGAGGCCTTAGAAAAATGTTCTTTAAAAAATCTACGCCTTTTGGGGCCTTATAAAAATGTTCTACGCCTTTTGAGGCCTTAGGAAAATGTTCGTTAAAAAATCTACGCCTTTTGAGGCCTTAGAATAATGTTCTTTAAAAAAACTATGCCTTTTGAGGCCTTAGAAAAATGTACGTTAAAAAATCTACGACTTTTGAGGCTATAGAAAAATGATCTTTAAAAAATCTACGCCTTTTGAGGCCTTAGAAAACTGTTCTATAAAAAATCTACGCCTTTTGAGACCTTAGAAAACTGTTCTTTAAAAAATCTACGCCTTGGTAGGCCATAGAAAAATATTCGTTAAAAAATCTATGCTCTGATCTCTCACTTGTTTTGCCTGTGTACGTATTTCATCTCATCTCCTAAGCTCCTTTCGTACTGCTTCTCTTTTTCGAAATGTACCTTATAAATAATCATAACAGCATCAGGTTAACTAGCCACAAAATTTGCCTCAAACCTTCATACCAACTGTAACTGTGTGAATGTGTAAAGAAAGGATGCAGTAGTCTAACATGTGGTTGGGACGTGTACAAACGTCAAATGACCTTGGAATTTAAATGGAATATAATATGACGATGAGGATGATTATGCTGATGTAGATGATGATGAGATTCGCAGGGACATTCATACAAAAACACAAACCAGATGAGGTTGTATGAAATTAGAAGTGAATAGGAAAAAACAGAAACAAACACATACAGAAATACCGGACATAATAGATGTTTTTCGTCATAATCTGAAAATAAGCTATAAAAACACCCACACACATTTACAATTGCAATAAGCTAATGACCTTGACTTTGTTTTTGTTGCCAATTATCATTATTATTTTTTTGATGACGATACTGATGAGGTTTATGTAAATCGTGGACATAGTAGTCGTGTTGGTGGTAATACATTTACTATTGCACCCATGAGAGTCATCAACAAACCATTCATCCGTTTAAGGTATAAACGTCATAAAGTGATGGGTGGTTAGGTTGCAGAACGTAGATTTTGCAAAAAAATTTTGTTTGTTAAGGCATATTAAGTCGTGAATTTTTTTAAAGAATATTATTCTAAAGTGAAGCGTGTTTTTTCTAATTAATGCCTTAGAAATTATTCTTAAAAAAAGTCTACGCTCTGCTATGGATTAGCAACAGATACTGTAACATCGAGAATGACAGTAGTGTATTTATGGGAGTTCGTTCAAAGTCGTATAGAATTGCATATAAGTACCGATATTTGCCGTTAGATGGTGCTGTCCGGTTTCGTAGCATAGACATAAACCAATAATGTAGAGATATTATCATGACATAGCAAGCTGTAAATAGTTTTAATATTTTATTGAGGAAGGCCTTAGAAAAATATTCTTTAAAAAATCTACGCCTTGTGTAAGCTTTAGAAAAACATTCTTTAAAAAATCTACACCTTGTGTAAGCTTTAGAAAAATATTCTTTAAAAATGTAGGCCTTGTGTAGGCTTTAGAAAAATATTCTTTAAAAAATCTACGCCTTGTGTAGGCTTTAGGAAAATATTCTGTAAAAAATGTACGCCTTGTGTAGGCTTTAGAAAAATATTCTTTAAAAAATGTACGCCTTGTGTAGGCTTTAGGAAAATATTCTTTAAAAACTCTACGCCTTTTGTAGGCTTTAGAAAAATATTCTTTAAAAAATCTACGCTTTGTGTAGGCTTTAGAAAAATATCCTTTAAAAATTCTACACCTTGTGTAGACTTTAAAAAAATATTCTTTAAAAAAATCTACGCCTTGTGTAGGCTTCTTTGAAAATCTGTTTGCCCTTGAAAAAATATGACTTGAAATATTATCCTGAATGAACGTAACAAGCAGTAGTAGGTTTATGGGATTTCATTCAAAATGTAACTGAATGCGGTGCCAATTGAGCTACTGACACCTAGATGGCGCTTTTTCATTTTCATGCATAGCGTGGGCACAAACCACATTTGGTTAATTACGGTAAACGACCTAAACACATGGTACGATTTCGAACGAACTCCCATAATTTCCCTACATGTGCTTGACTTTTAGTATTTGGTAATTTATCCAACATTCTGTTTAAGTTTTTGATCAATTTTTAATCAAATTTAATTTTTTCTATTTTTTCAGAAACCCGAAAAAGGTCGCATGCGTGTCCATCACATCAACAATCTGAACAAAGTCCTGCAGGTGATACAGGAACATGGTGTCAAATTGGTGAACATTTCCAGTGATGATATTGTCGAAGGCAACCCCAAACTGATTTTGGGCCTCATATGGCTCATTGCCTTGGAATTCAATGGCCAAAATCTAGTGAAGAGTCACTCAAGTAATGGTGTTGAAAAATCTCTACTAAATTGGGCCCGTCAATTTACCGAACCCAAGGGTGTGAAATTAAATGATTTCTCCAATAGTTGGTCGGATGGTCGGGCATTCCTCCTAATTCTCGATGCCCATTTAGGAAATGTGGATTTATCCAGCGTCCTGACTCAACATCCTTTGGCCCGTTTAAGAACTGCCTTTGATTTGGCTAATACATATTTTAAAATTGAAAAACTCTTAGATCCGGAAGATGTACATACCCATAAACCGGATAATAAATCGATACAAATGTATGTTATGTGCCTGTATCATGCCATGGAAACGCGTAGAACGCTTGAAGAGGAGGAGGAGCAGCAGGGAGAGGGAGAGCAACAGTTTCAGGAAATTAATTTGTGCCAACAACAACAACAACAACCCCATCAAATGGAATCAGTATTATATGATGAGGAGCATAAGACAACATCGGAGGATTTAGGCTATGGCCGTAGTGTAAATATAACCGATTTAGATGAAATACCTTTAGATAATAAGGATCACGAGGGAGATGATGGCCTAGAAGATGGAGAGGGCCTACACTCAGATGCCTCATCTTCCATGGCAAACAGTGCCACAGATTCTGGTATTAAATCGAAGTATAACAGCGACACCTTTAAATCGATTATGGATTTAGAAATGGATCCGCCACCGAAAAGTCAATTGGCCAACTTTTTACTCAAGGATGACAAATCAAGGCCACACAGTTTGGCCACAAATGTTTCCATAGAGATAAGTACGTATCAGGCAGCTCTGGAAGCTGTTTTGACTCTTCTTCTAGAAGATGAACAAATTTTGTCGGAAACCTTGCCGGAACCACATGATTTCCTTACGGCCAAAGCCCAGTTCCATGAAAATGAACAGTTTATGTTGAAATTGACCGAACATCAGCAGTATGTCGGAGAGGCCTTGGAGGAGGGTTCCAACTTGATTAATGAATCCCAAAAGTCTCAGGGTCTTACGGTGGAAGATCAAAATGAAATCAGGCAACAAATGGTGCTTCTGAATGAAAGATGGGAAACACTGCGTCTCAAGGCCCTGAATGTCCAAAGTAAGATTTTAATGCGCTTGGCGGAATTTCAAAGTCAACAAATTGAGAAGCTGAAGAATTTCCTTACCAACATTGAGGATAGAATTTCCTTAATGTCGGATATTGGCCCAACACTCAAGGAGGTGGAGAAGCAGCTCAGAGAGGCAGCCGTACTTAAGGATGATCTGAAGCACCAACAGGATTTGGTGGATAGCCTTAGTAATATGGTGGTCATTGTCAATGATGAGTCAGGGAATTTCAATGATTTGGAGGATAAGTTATCCGCTTTGGGAGAGCGTTGGTCCCATGTAGTGAAGTGGTGCGATTTGAGGCAAGAAAAGCTACAACAATACAAATGTATATCCCGCTGGTTGGATACCCGTGAACAGGATCTGAAACATATGGAATCGAAGGATGTCTGTGATTTGGGTACGATCACGAAACGCATGAATGACTTGAATTATTGTGCCAAGGATCTGCTGGAATTGGAGAGATATTTAATTGACCTGAGGCAAATGGTGGCAGCCACCTTGCAAGAGGGTGATGTACGTGGTGAACAGGTTTTGGTGCAATTGGAAAATTTTGAAGATCGCCTAGATGCCCTCAAGCAAATTGTGGAGGTGCAGACGGAACGCATTGAACAGAAGGGTTTCAAATTTGGTCGCGATCGTGCTTCCTATGATGATTCGAAGGTGGTGAAACCGGATCACTGGACAGATTTCCAAATGATTATTCGCTTTGGTGAAGAGGAGGCCGAGGAAACTGATGATGCGGCTGGGCCAGGTGCTTTGCAACAGGGTGTTATGCCGGAAGGATCTCCCTTGGCTTGTAAAAAGCGACGTCTGCGTAACACCGATAACTTCTATCTGCTGGAGGGAAAAATTCTCGAAGCTTTCGGTTTCATCGATGACTGTGAGGATCAATTGCAACAGCTACAAAGACGTAGTCTACGCAATCAAGCGGAACTCTTGGAGAAGTTGGAAAAGGAGGTCTGCTCGCGTTTGGAAAATTCCCGCGAGCTGCGAGATCTCTATGAGCTCTGCGAAAAGGAGGATGTTAGCCGTAACATGATCATGGAGGCGTCGCAGATCCGGCAAATTGAGGAGAAATACTTGGAGCTGAGACAGAGCTTGGACGCACAAAGTCGGGCCTGTTCCAAACTCATGGAGAAGGAGAAGCTTTACAATAGCCTGACAGGATTTAAGCTGGTGCTGGCCGATTCCCGTGATTGGTATAAACAACATTCCATTAGTGCCTCAAAGGGCGACTTGCAGCAGAGGCTCAGTGATATGGAGTCCTTGACCATGGAAATACAACAGGCCAAGGAAGCCACCACGACAATGGGTGAAGATTTCCAGGAGTGGAAAGAGGATTTCAATATTTTCTATGACTCCTGGAATGATATGAAGAAGGCCATACTTACTTTGATCCGTGAAAAGGGAGGGAGTGATGAGTTGCAAGGGAAATTGGAAGAGTTACAAAATTTCCTTAAACGTGTGCCTCAGGTCCAGGTAATTGTGGACTCATTGGAACCCATGGAGAGAAGGCTACAAGAACTCAATAATTTCCATGAGGAATTGGTGGCCCTCAAACCAGATTTTGATTTAATAAAACAACGCAGACCCGATAGTTTGTCTTCGGAGTTCCAGGAAAAGTGGCTCAAGGCGGAGGAACAAATTTCCGAGAGGATTATCAAGCAGACCACGGCCATTGAGAACTTAAATCACTTCTCGGCGGAATATAATGCCATAATGGCGGTGCTACGCAAATTGGAGGCAAACCTCCGGGAAGGAGAGGCTGGAGAGGGAAAAGCCTCAGTGGAGGCTGCTAGCTCCATGAAGTTACGCAAATTGGAAATCGATGTCATTAGTGCTCGGAACTTTAGTGAAATTATTATCAAGGATGCCCAACCCCAGCATCGGGAACATTTGACCTCCCAAATCAAGGAACTCAATGAATTTTTCTCAAGGATACAAAATATCTATAAGGAAAATTTGCAAAAAACCCTGGATATACAAAAGCAGACGGAGGAGATTTTCGAGAGACTAAACCACACGGAACAGTGGCTCAATGACCTCTCCAACAATACTCCCAAGACTCCGATTTCACAGATTCTCAATTCCAATGAGCTGTTTCATTTGAAATCGAAATTCCAGGCCCTTAAAGAAACCTGTGAGCGGGAGGCTGTCAATTTCAGGGAACTCAATGAGCTCGGAGGTGATTGTCTGGTACAAATCGATGAACTCAAGTCACGTGGTTTGGATAATGTTGACGAGAAATATAATTTGCTGGCAAAGAAATTTACACGACTCAATGCCCGCTGGACGGAGGTCACGACATTGGTCTATCAAAAATGTGGTCTGCTTGAGCATATCTCCACTCAGCTGGGTGAGTTTAAGAAGTTTATGGTATCGGAAACGGGTTATTTAGATCGTTTGGAAAATAAAATGCGCTCCTCGCCGGAGAATGCGGATGCCGAGGAGATCATTGAGGAATTGGATGTAAGTTCAGGAAAACCTTTTAAAACTTTCGCAAAAATAATTAATTCTCTTCTTCTTTTTCCCAGGACCTTGAAAACGTCTTGCGCGGTCACTCCGACGATTGGCTGGAGAAGATACAAGAAATCGGCCAGGAGCTTATTTCCCATGAATTTATGGCGGAGTCGATCGGCGAAGAAATCAATGCCATTGTCGAGCGATGGACTCAACTGCAGCAGAAGGCCAAACAGCGTGCTGAAATTCTTGAACAAGAAGTCAATGAGGCCAAGCAATCAGAAAAATGTGTTGAACAGTTTGAGGCTTGGCTAACAAGGGTGGATGAGATCCTCAGCGAACATTTGGAGAATGATGTGACCATTGAAGATTTACCCGAAGATTTTCAGCAATTGGCCATGGAATTTGAGGAGAATGAGAGGTGTTTCCAGGAGATTGATGACCTGATTGCGGAACATCAACGTAATGGTAAAATCGAAGCGGCCAACAGGCTTCAGGATCAATTAAATCTCTTGGAAATGCGTTACAAATCCTGTCAATTGAAATTGAATAAATGCACCGCACCCCAACCGGCCTTTGAGTCAAGGCTAAATCGCGCCGTGGCTGAGCTCAGAAATGTTGAAAGATCCACATTGGTGTTAGATGTGGCCACTGCTGGACCCTCCACCGTCCAAGTGCAATATCAAAAATGTTTACAAATTTATCGTACCCTCTCCGAAATTAAATCGGAAATTGAAAGTACCATTAAGACGGGACGCAAGGTGTGCGAAGATAAATTTACCAAGTCACCCAAACAGCTAAGTCAGCGTATTGATGCTCTCAAACATCTATATAATGCTTTGGGAGAAAATGTTACCCAGTCCAAGATTTTCTTGGAGGGCCTCATAAAGCTGGCCAAACAATTGGAGGAGTGTTTCCAGGCTGCCGAAGAGTTGAATCGTAAATTCGAGAGTCCTCAGGAGATGCATGATCGCAACTCCGTCTTTTTGGAATATGAAAGCATTCTGCAGAAATGTGAAGATATCTATGAGGAATATAGTAAATCATGTGATCCTGTGTGCTTGGAAGATACCCGCCAGAAGATAGATGACCTCAAGGCTTCGTACATGAAATTGACCAGTGCCGATGTCATAAAACGTTTGACCGAAATGAAATCGACTCTGCAGAATTTGGATAATATTTCATTGGATACATTAAGGTAAGTATTTAGAGCTTCTTAAGTAGTGAAATGTTAGGGTTTTGGGAACGGACTTTGCTCCCATGTGGAATGGAAGTGGAAAATATGGATCGAGAATTATACCTGCGAAATAGTTTCGATTCGCCAGGGTCTTGTTTTGAAGATAAAAAAGAACGCGTATTTGTCAATCATAGTATTACAGAGGAAATATTCCATAAGAAAGTGGCGCCCAACGGCCTGGTGAATAAGACATTTTAAATGATTCCCTGTAATCAATAATTCCCCACCTTGTAACAACAGGACCAAGATGGCGCCCAACCAAAAATATATATTTGGAATTTGATGCTATACAGCCTATTTTACCTATTTTAATTAATATTTTTTTATTTCGATAATAATTCTCAAATTTCTGAGGTTAAAAATGAATCCGAATTTGTCAATCATAGTCTTACATAGGAAATATTCCATAAGAAAGTGGCGCCCAACGGCCTGGCGTACCAGTATAATGCACAAATAAGACATTCTACATGATTCCCTGTAATCAATAATTCCACACCTTACTGGTAACAACAGGACCAATATTGCGCCCAACCAAAATTTTTGAAGAAATAAATTTTAATATTTTATTGGAATTTGATACTATCCAACCTATTTTACCTATTTTAATTAATATTTTTTTTATTTTTTGATTTCGATAATAATTCTCAAATTTCTACAACTTCCACTCCTAACTTCATCGATAATAAAAAAACAAAACAATTAACTTATTGTTTGGTCGATCACCTTCTAATTAGATTTCCCATTTCAAGTGCAACCACTTGAACATAAACATAATTTTCCACATCATTACCATTTCAACCTGTCAATGAAAAGCAATATCGATGTAATTTAATATACTTTTTTCCACTTATATTATTTCTATTTTTTTCCACATATTTTTATTTTATTTTTTCTCTCTTTCACATTGTTATGTAACACCACACCATCCTTCCTTTTTTCACTCACAGGGCCATGGAACATGATTTAAAACAGATTAATGTGCCATCCAATCCGGAAATTGAAAAATTGCAACAGCAAGTAATTGCAATTGTAGTGGTAAGTCCGGAACAGATTTATATTCATTTTTTTCAATACGTTTTTTGTTGTTGTTGCTATGTGATTTTTTGTGGTGTTTCACATCTATTTTTTGTTGCTATTGTTGTTTTTTTATCTACTAAATGTAATTGTAAATGTATATTGTACGTGCTTGTGTGTGTGTTTTTTTTATTTATACATGTATGTATATGTTTTTTGTAGTTGTATTAGTGGTGTGTAATTTTTTTTTTAATTACAGTTGTAGTGGTGAGTTTGCATTGCATTTTTAATTAAGTGAATCAATATTTGTATAATATTTTATATATAGTAAAATAATCAATTTAATTAATAACTAAAATTAATTAATTAGGCCTCCTAATGTCTAGAAAAGGTTTATTTTTTATAAGACCAGTAGGCCTATTCTGTAACTTTGTAACAACATTCGATATTATTTGTTTAACAACAGTTTCATTTATTTGTTTTATGGTTTTTGCAAAAGAAATTTAAATAATATCGAATGTTGTTTAAAGTTACAGAATAGGTCTACTGAAAGCGTTTTGTTGTCTCGTAAGGAACTAAGAGGTATCCTATTGTCTAAAAAGAGCCTAGTGGTGTTCTATTACCAGTAAAAAACCGAGAGTTCTTCTAATGTCTACAAAAGGCCCATAGGTTTTTATATCCTTCACCACTAGGTTGTACAGGGTATTATGTGTTTGTGCATATGTTTTTAACAGGCAAAAATAATCGAAATGGACCCATGGTTCCTTTTGAGAATATGCGTCCGTCCGTCCGTTTGTTCATTTTAAATTGTAAACAAAGTACACAGGTCGCATTTATGATTCGAATTGGATGAAATTTACACAGCGCATTTGTTTGGCTCAAGGACGAACCCTATTGAAATTGGGAAAAATCGGTCCAGATTTGGATATAGCTCCCATATATAGTTTCGCCCGATTTTAGATAAATAGTCCACTGAAGTCCCTATATATCCTTCGATTTGCACGAAATTTGGCACAGCGTACTGAATTAAGTCTAAAACGACGTGTGTTAAATTTCGTGGAAATCGGTTCTGATTTAGATATAGCTCCCAAATATTTAGATATAGTGCACCAAAGGCGCTTTGCATCCTTCGATTTGCACGAAATTTGGCATAGCGTACTGAATTGGGTCTAGAATGATGAGTGGTGAGTTTCGGGAAAATCGGTTTAGATTTCGACATATCTCCCATCCGATTTTATGTAAATGGTGCACCAAGGACCCTTTGATTTGCACAAAATTTGGCATAGCGTACTGAATTAAGTCTAGAAAGATGTGTGTTAATTTTCGTGAAAATCGGTTCAGATTTAGATATAGCTTTCACATATAGATTATATTTTAACAACGCTGCGTACCGAATAGCGTGTATCAATTTTGATATAAATCGTTTTCCATAAAATTTCCCCATGTTACGCAGACGGCTCTAAATCTGCTCGAATGAAATTAAAGTTAGGATAGGTTGGAGAAAGATGCAATTGCATAGACATGCAATTGTTAGGATTCATATGCATATATACCCAAAGTGGTGAAAGGTATCATATAGTCGGCCCAGTCCGACTTTACTACTTTCTTTACTGGTTTGTAGAAGAACTAGTGTCATACTTTTATGTGTAGCAGATTTTTTAATGTTTTAGAAGACCTGAAAGCGTTTTGTTGTCTTGTCAGGAACCAAGAGGTCTTCTAGTGTCTACAAAAGGCCCAAATGCCTTTCATTGTCTGTAGAAGAAGTTAACGTCTTCAATTTTTTGTATTCTATTGCCAATAAGAGTCCTGGGGGACTTCTATTCTGTATCTATTTCCCTAGAAGACCTAGAGGTATTCAGTTGCCCAACGAATATGTGGATATATTCTTTTTTCTACAAGAACTAAAAGTATTCTGTTGTCTAAAGAGTTGAGGTAGGTCTTCTGTTGTCTGTGGTGAATCTAAAGGTTTTATGTTGCACATTTAGGATCTAGTAGTCTTCTATTATCTTTAAAAGCTTTGAGGTATTCCATTGGCGGTAGAAAACGTAGTGTTCTATTGTCTATAGAAGGTGTCCTAGAGGTGTCCAGTGTCTATAGAAAACCCGGAAGTCTTATCTATATACGGTCTGCAGGTTTTCTTTTTCCTACTCTTAAGAAGACCTAGAGGTTTTCTCTTATTGTCTACAAACTCTTATATGGCCTGAGGAGGATTTCAAAAACGCCTATTGACGTCTTTGAAATCCTCCACGATACAGAGATATTCTCTTGGCTATATAAAGAAGGCATGGGTCCTTCTTTTACTCAAGGAAAATCTAGAGGATTAATCTGTATATTAAAGACTTAGGGGAAATGAAAGGCATATGTTGGCTACAAAATACATGAACTAGACCTTTATATCTAGTTCATCTTTAAGAACTAGATATAAAGGTCTTCTTTTAACTTAAGGAGATCTGAAGGTGTTATTTTGCCTTAATAAGACCCAGAGGATTACGCTTGTCTATAAACGTCCTACACGTCTTATATTGCCTATAGAGAACCTCAAAGTATTCTTTTGGCTAAAGATGACCCAGTTTTCTTTTGTTGTCAATAGAATACCTACTGAGCTATATAGTAGACCTATAGGTCTTCCACATACAACAGAAGTGTAAACTAAATTTGTAAACATTATTCAACCATAATGAGTGTATATTAAATTTGACATTTAGTTATACCTCGAAACATTCACCAGAGACCTCATAATGTTTATATATTCTTGATTAGAATAAAACTATGTCGATTTCTGAATGTCTGTCTGTTGACATCTGGTTAGAGCATGCACTATTTAAGATGGAGTTTTGAAATTTTGCACTTATATTGCTAATGCTCCCAGGTTGATTGATATTACAAATGGGATATATCGGTCCACATTTTGGTATATGTCCCATATAATGATATCCTTCGGTATTCGGTATTTTGGGCGGTTTTAGGCACTTTTGTCTAAGTTAATTGTCTGTAATTTCATACTTTGAGGGTCTATTTGGTGCAAATCTCCCTTCCAAAAATGATAGATATCTGTCAAATTTTTACGATAGGCCCCATATAACTGTAACCTTCTTCAATTTGTATTTCAATCAAATTGTTTCCTATTTGATTTTCATTGGTGATTCCTTACCAAAAGACCCAAATGAATACTGGTCGAACCTAACAACTTTTGTAACTTGTGTAAATATCCAAGATTTCCAAGACTCATACATTTTTCGAAATGATTATCGACACACCAGACATCTATAGGTTGTAACAATCAACCAAATTTGGATTTCTCTCTCGTCAATAGATCATTTTCCCCGAAAATACAGGCCGAAGTGCTAGTTATATGCTAGTGATCATAGTGACAATGTCTTTGAAACTAAGCCTAAGATGCCCAACTACAAGTTTCTGTTCGAATACACCTGATAGCCATCTACCTACAAACCGATGATTGCCTTCAATATATACAAGATCTTCCCTCAAGAATCAAACATCGACCAAAAATAACCTTCAGACACCCGTTAGTATTAGTTATACACTTCAATGTCTGAATAATTTATCATCCCAGAATTAGTGGCATCCAACGTTAACTAATTTCTTTGTGCATATGTTTGTAACAGGCAAAAGGAAACGAAATACACATGGTTCCTTTTGAGAATATGCATAGAATCACTTTCTGAGTCGATTTACGCATGTCCGTCTGTCTGTCTGTCCGTCCGTCCATGTATTTTTTGTTAACAGAGTACAGGTCGCATTTATGAACCGATTTGGATGATATTTGGCATAGGTCACTTTTTTGGCCCGAGGACAAACCCTATTGAAATTGGGAAAAATCGGTTCAAATTTAGATATAGCTCCCATATATATTCGTCCGATTTAATGGGATGCTGCACCAAAATCCCTTAATATCTTTCGATTTGCACGAAATTTGACACAGCTTAAATGATGTACCAAAGTCCCTTAATATCTTTCTAGCGTAATGAATTACGTCTAGAATGATGTGTGTTAAGTTTCCTGAAGTCGGTTCAGACTTAGATATAGCTTCTATATCTAACCAAATGAAAAGTTTAGTAACGGTTGCACAATGAAATGTTTATGGATCCAATTTCATTTTACTGGTCCTTTAAAAATGCGATGTCTGTTAGGATTTATCTGTTAAATATACCCATGGTGGTGAAGGACATCATATAGTCGGCCCCGTCCGACATTACTACTTTCCTTACTGGTTTTCTAATTTATCAGTTGGAGAATGCTAATGTAAAAAAACAAATGCGACCAACGAAATTTTATGCAAAATTTGCGACCGACTCCAATGCCAAAGAAAAAAACCCTATATTCAATATAAAATATCAGGATAACTATGTGATATAACATTTTAAATAACTCTTTCAAGTATTCGACCAGGACATGGCGCCCAATGTAAAGAATTTGGCAATTTTTGAAACATGTTGTCCGTACATTTTGAATGAGGATATTCTCATATAAATTTTGAAAGCTGAATGTTGTCAAAAGTAAAATTATGAAAATATTGGAATCATATGTATGCATGATACTATCTTATAAAATTCCGATTTATTTTTTATGTACATATATTCCTTAGGCATTTCTCATATGTATGTAATTATTTCTCTGTCAATGTTTTTTTTTTCAATCAACAATTTTCATATATATAATATCTTGAGAAGTTTAGCAAATAATTGCTTTAATTATATTTGCTGTTTTTTTTTTCTTTCAATTTTTTCCCCAAAATATTTTCCATTCGAACACTTTAATTTGGAATTTGTTTGAAAAGTAATTTCCATGTTGTTTTCATTTTTTTTTTTTGATCAATTCACAATGAATGCATTTTATATTGGCCGTAAATCCATTGGTCTGTTTATTTATTCCAATGGTTCTCTATAATGTTTTTGTGTGTATTTTACAAATACGAAAAACAAAACAAGAATTCCAGTATTTATTTGCAAAAATCGAATTGGTATTATTTGTGTTTATGTCTGTGGCTTTGTTTATACAAAAACACGATTGGATAAAATGGAGAATAAATTAGTAACTGTTTAGTTTTTGTTGTAGTGCAAACACACATTTTTATGAATAATTATTGATAGTAATGGCAAAAAGTTGGCATTTGGTAAATGAGAGTCAATGATTATATTTGATATTTAACCTGGCAGAGAAAATCCATGAATTAGAAAATTAAATGCACGTGGATTAAATTATATAGGAATTAAAAATATATGGTGTTGCAATAATCTATAAATTTCTACTATTTTTCTTCAATATCATAAATGAAAATTGTTATCGTAGTAAAAATTGTATATATGATATTATATATCGTCAGCTAAACTGCAAAAAGGCGTAACTAACAAAAAATTGAAAATTGACTTTTTGAATGAATATTGTGAATGTCAATAAACTACATGTGTTGACAAAGTTTTACACGTCTGCGGTCAAAAAAGGAGCTTCTATTAACAAAAAACAAAAAGACGTAACTTCAAGTGGGTTTATTTTATAAATGCAAAAAGGCGTAACTAACAAAAAATTCAAATTTTTACTTAATTGTTATGACTGCCATTAAACTAAATAACTAAATTTGTTAAAAAAAAAAAAATTATAGTCTATTATTCGTCATATGCAATATCACCCTGCCGGCCATACTTTTTCATTTCACATGACATGTTTATAGTTTTCATTCAAAACAGTTTTTTGCTTCTCCTACACAATTATGCTTTTGTTAGTTACGCCTTTTGGATTTTAGCTAACGATATCCTTAATAGTCCATAGAAAGAATTTCTAAAGAAAGCGTTCCTTTTACTTTGTTTGCTATATTTGTATCCTCAGCTTTATGTCTAATTGATATGGGTATGTACAATATCGAAATGTTGGCTTTAGATCCCAGGTTTCTTTGGACGATTTACAAATGTCCGTCCTTCTATCTAGCCGGCTGGTGCGCACGATTACTCTCGAAGAGACTAACCGATTTCATCCAAACTTTGCATATATTTCTTCCGAACATAGTTCAAGTTCGAAGATGGGGAATATTGGTTCACCCCTTCTGGTATCTTCCCCACAAAATGGTCAAAATTGTGAAAAAAAAAATAATTTTATAATATCATGCGAACGAACTATTCGATTCTTTACCAAGCCTAAATCTATTCTGACGATGGTACCTCACTGGTCTGCTCCTTCTGGTACTTCCCCCACAAATGGTGAACACTTTCAATATTTATAAATCCAATATCAGGCGAATGGAAATTCCGATTTGAACCAAACTTTGCACGAGCTATCTTTACCAAGTTGGTTCCCCCACAATATTTATAATTTTAATATTAGGCGAAAAGAATGCCCGATTTGAACCAAACTTTGCACAGCCTGTTTTCTTTTTAAGGCCGTTTTTTTTTTCTTTTTCGAGTCGAGCTTAATGATCGAAGTTTTGCTATGGGTTTCGGCGTTGATTATGCGGCTCATCAGCCATATTGGGATATGTGGTTTTACAAAGGTTGTATGTTGATAACTTGTATTTATACCGCAATTGATGCGAAATTACATCTGTGAATTAAATAAAAGTTTGTCGAGGTTCGACATTTCTCTTCACTCTAGGAACATGCCTTTTCAAAGCAGATTTTTATTGTAGTGATGGTTAATTAATCCACACAGCTACAATTGCTCCCATGATATACACATGTTGTTGCGCAACCTTTTAGGAAGTGTGTTGATGACTCAGAACGTTAACTGGTCTGGCAACATTTGTGTTGCTCTGGGAACCTTGGTTTCCTTTTCGTTGCAAAACTTCAATCATTAAGTTGGACTCGAAAGAGAAAAAAATCACTTTAAAGTCATTCAAATGATAATCGCCCTTACAGGCAAAATTCTAATAATAAAAAATTATTCCAGTACGGCTTAGACTCGAAAACACGTTCACAGAGCAACAAAAATGTAACCAGACCAGCGTTCTGAGCCATCGACAAACTTTCTAAACGTTACGCAAAAACATATGTATACCATGGAAGCATGGTTGTAATTATTTAGAGGCATATTAGGGATTCTTTAGAAAAAACCTATTCAATATTTGTTCTGCATGTAGCTGACATCTGATTTTGTATACAGATTTTGTGAAATTTCATGTCCATAGTTTTCTTGAGATAAATCACAAGTTCCAACTTTTCAAACCTTCTTCTCTGAGAACTGCCTTTATTCATTATCATCCAACATAATAACGAAGAGTAGGGGTGATAGGGTGCGAAACGGGTTTAGTTATTTGGTACATCATTTTGATGAAATCGGATGAAAATATATATGGAAGCATATGACTTATGTTCCCATTGTGAAGAACTGAGAGTTTTGCAACCGCATACAATGGCGGAAGGGGGTACTCCCTTCTTTCTCTATGGTTCCCATATATCAGTACGTCTGATGGTATGGAAAACTTTCTTGCATTCGATAAACAGTGAGTAAAGTGGCGTGAACAATTAGTAAGATTATTGCATTAGAACGCACAGGGTGTTAGAGTGGTCCAGACTGTTTCTATATGGTTTGAAACCACCCAGTCCGTTTATTTCTTTATATATTTTATACATGCCTTTGAATTCTTTTCTGTATTATGGTTGCTATTTTGTTCAGATTGTTAACTTTTTATTGTCTCTATTGTGTTCTTTATTGCATCTTCTATATTTCGGATACTTATAAAGATACGTCATTTTGTTTTCTGGCTGCAACATTTTGAAATGTTTATACAACATGTATATATGTTGATGCAACATTACGATGTGTTGAGAATTTTCTTCGCAAAATATAACCTTAATAGCCTTTAATGTGAAAATAATAAATATAATGATATCAGGTTGTCTGAGAAGAGATTGGAAGAATTAACTTTTCAAATTTACAAACAAGTTTCTTATTTTCTATGTTGAGTAAAAATTATTCAACATGTTGATATTACATTGAAATACATTGGTATTTCTTAATTATGATTTTTATTGTTTTTATTATCTGTTATACTTAACAACTATATATATTTTAAATTGTATGCCTTTTTAATTTATTTAATACACTATTAACAATTAAATAATTATATATTTTGCCCGTAGAAATTACTAACATATGTAGTTAGCAAATACTCACCACTCTCAATTTCTTTGTGTAATAATAAAATAATTCATACTCACCTCAAATATCATACCATAATCACCAACCACCATACCATAACATTAAAATAAATTAAAATCAATAGGTTGAAGTCATTATCCATAGATCCAAATTAAAAATAAAAAAACGGAGTTCGAAATCTGTAAAATATCGAAAATGGTTAAAGGCTCAACATAATCCAATACCACCACAACAACTACCAACAAAACCACTACCATAGCCCGAGAGCCCATTTGTCTATTGTCCTCCTCAACCAAATATAAGAAATATCAAAAATATATCCACCATTACCACCATCATCTGGATTAAACTCACCACAACTCCAACTCACCACCTTTAATAGAAATTAAAACGAAAAATATTTATTTTAATAATTTATGGGATTTATTTTTAAAAAGGTTATGTTATTGTAAAAATCATTAGATTTTGGCTCATCTCTTATTTGGCTTGCATAAAATTATGAAAATTTGATATCAATACAAATTTGTAGTTTTGAAATGAAATTTGGGGCTTTACTAAATTTTTTCTACTCCTCCACTACTTTGCTTATTTTTTTTTTATTTTGGAAATTAAGTTATTTTTTTTGTAGACTATTTGGAATATTAATCAAAAACTATTTGAAACGAAAATTGTTTTTCTTCAAAATCCCATTTGTTTTCTTCCTCATTATTTTAAATTTTACAAAATTGTGAATAGGATGTATTGAAAACACGTTACAAAATTGAATCTACATTGGAGCAACAACAACAACAACAGCAAGGAGGAAATAATTCTGGAAATCGTGAAGAAGAAGATACCGAAATTGTCATAGTCAGTGACACGGTGAGACAACGTAGAGCTCGCACACCCTCCTCCAATTCACCCACCAAGGAGGTCAGTGATACCTCCTCATCATCACAAAATTCCTCGGGACAACAATTAGCACAGGTGGGTCCAATAAAAGATCAGCAGCAATCTCATCAACTGCCACAACAACAACAATCGCATACACAAACTACTAGTGGCCAAGTCTTGCCAGATTTATTACCACCACAAACGTTCCGTTTAGCTGAATCAAGTGCTCTCTTCTCACAGATTTCCTTGAATACAACCACATCGGGTACGCCCTCTAGTGATGACATTCCACCACCTAAACCACCCAACAAACGTAAGAGTGGTGAATCTCAAGCTCAAATGGTAGAGATTAAGGTGAAAAATATTGGCAACGACAAAATGTCGGTACAGCTATCCGGTTTGGAACCTCAGCAAGGTGAGATTGTCGACACGGTGAATATTTTGGAATCTGTGGAACCTTTCGTACCCGAGTATGTGGAAACAGTGCAAATTGTTGATCTCTCCGAAGATTCTGATTCCTCAATGCGTGTTGATGCCGATGGCAAAGAAGTTAAACGCTCCAAATCAAAGAGATCGCTGAATGATTCTCCCAGGCCCGTACCCGAAGAAGAAGAACTAAATAAAAATGAAGATGTAGAATTACGGTTGGGGCCAAGTCACACCAGTACACCAATTTTGCGTGTGGAAAAACAACGTATTTCCTTCGAGGAAAAACGCAAACGCATTGAAACTGAACGTGATATTTTGCGTGATTCCGAAGAGGAAGGTGATGCCAAAACAAGTGGTATTTTCAAACAACCCAAAGCGAAGAGATGGCGTCAACTACAAATTGCCATGGAAGAGCTGGACAATAGCATGGCTGAACAGGAGGCCCGCAACAGTTTCTATAATCCCGACAAGGATTTAAGTTTTGAAGTTGAGCCTTTGGTCTTTTCCGATGACGAAGATATACCGAGATTTTCAATGGAAATGACTCAACCTCTTGATTCGGATAGTGATACGGTATGGTATTTGTAGATTAAGATGATTTTGTTCGGAAAGAAGGCAAATTAATATTTCCTTTGTTGAGGCAACATTTGAACATGTTGTATCAACTTTACACATGCGTGATATATTGTGCAACATGTTGGGACAACATTTGCTGATGGAATAAAGCAAATCTAAGACAAGTAAAACCTATTTAGAGTCTCTTGAACGAATAGCGATGATACTGCGGAACGAATTCTTCATATTTAATAAGTTTATTATTGATTCAAAATTGAGATATGTTGCGGCAACATGTATACGTGTTGAAACAATAGTCAAACATGTTGACATAACATCTGAAGATGTTGACAATTTGTTTTTCATACAAAATATAATTTTCATAGTTTTCTTTGTGAAATAAATGGTAGTCTGAAAGGTCTCAGAAACCATATCCTTGATTATATAGTTTCAATTGCTTCTAATTTTGGCATACATTTTCCAAAACTGACGATCTCTGGTAGTTGTCAGAGGTACAACAATAAAAACATATCCTTAGAAATTTGTGTACATTTCTGATAATTTCGCTCTCATTGTTATTTTTTATATTGAGTCAAAAATATTTAAGCCACTTGAACTAATGACGAGAATTCTGACGTTCTACTCTACTAATTTTTATAAAAAATCGCCATATTTCTTATTGACACATAATTTATAAAATAAAAACATGTTGACTCAACATCGGAATATGTGATGTATTTGGTTTTATACAAATCCTTAATAGTCCTTAATAGGAAATCAATTAACTTATAATATTAATAACACAATTTTTTAAAGATTCCCAAGTTTTCTTAACTGTACGTTGAAACATGTTGCTACAAATTATAAACTTGTTGATACAATATTGAAACATGTTGCTACAACATCAAATATGTTGAATCCAAATCGAAACATGTTGAGACTTTGTTATTAATTAGAAAAAATTGTTGTTATTATTTTCAATGTAAAATAAAAATAATTTACACTTTACTCCTGATGGTCTAAGGACCTCCAGATTGAAATTTGTTTGTATAAATAATTTACCTAATCTTCCTTTCTTTATTATTTGCTTTCCCACATAGAGTCGCATCGAAACCCCCACCACGAAGAAACCCAATTCCTTCTCCAACAAAATCTTGCCACAATCACCATCCATGGATGATTCAAATATAACCCTAAAAAGTCCCTATTCCGAAGTGCCAAGTTCACAATTTGCCAGTGGTGGCGGTTCTCTGGAACAGAGAGTTACAGAATTCGAAAAGAATGCCAAATATATGATGATGCGTTTGGATAAGACGAAGGAGAAAATTGAAAAGAACACTGAGAGTGAAAGGTAAGTACATCCGAAAACACTAATATAAATAGAAAAGATAGGACTATAAAATATTTAAAAGTACATCGTGGGCGCAAAAGAAAGGCCTCTTAAATATCCTAAAAGTTCTATAGATAGAGCCAATTCCAGAGGTCTTCTTGATATATAAATACCTTCCGCCTGCATCCTACAGATAAAGAGCCTGCTGTAAACTTTCCTCGGTCCTTTTCTATTTATACAATAAATCTGAGAATGTTTTTATAGACCACAGGCCTCTCTAGGTCTTCGTATAATGAAAATATATCAACCAGCCTTCTTAATAAATGTGGCCTGCTTTAGGTTTTCTGCAGCCGTTTTCAGAACAAACTTAAGGTTCTATGGATAGAAGGTAATATTTAGGTAATATTTAGGTCCTTATCTCACACTGGTCTTATACCGCTGTGGGACCTGCTTTAAGGTCTTCTCTATCCTTTTAGGGCATCTATTGAAATAAAAAATTCTCAAGGCCTTCTTAAAGTTTAGATCTTCTGATCCTGATAACTGCAAATATTAGTTTTGATATCGATATCGATTGGTTTATCGATAGTACCTCAAATTTAGATAGGAGTTATCATCATCAGGTATTTTGTAGACCTTCTTAGGTCTTCTTCAAATAGAATATACATTTTCGCAGCCTCAGTAAATTGAAGATATACCCAAGTCTTTTATAGAAAGAAGGTCTTCGCGGCCTTATTAAACAAAAAAATCTCTCTATAAATAGAAAATTATAAGAAATATGAGGAGGTCTCTCAAATATAAAAGACCTCCTCTGATTTTCTGTCTTTAGGAGATCTTCTCAGGTTTGCATTACTTATAAAAACATTCATAGCTCCTGTATATAGAACAATCCCACCTTATGTCTTCCATTGATAAATGGCACATATTCGTCTATAAAAGGAACTCCTCTCATGGTCCTCTTTTAATAGAACACCAACATAGATCTTCTACAAACAAAATACGCTTATATCTTATGCAAGATGTCCTCGGGTTCTCTGTATCTAAAACACCTTTTGGAGATTTGCTATAATATAATTATTTTTGAAGCCTATCCATTGTTTCAGAAACTCTCCTATGCTTCGAATACCTCCTTAGACCATTTATAAATAGAAGAGAGGGTCTCTCCGCTTTAATTGGACAGAATAATTATCATAAAGGGCGTCTATATATAAAGAAGTATGAGTCAAATGAAACCTCATCTATGGTCATTTTTTAACAGAAGACAACAGCAGATATTCTATAGAAAACTTCCTCCGTTCCCCTAGAAGACCTCCTAAGGTCCGAAGATTTCCTAGAATATTAATTATTACTGAAGCCCCTCTATAGCTAGAATATCTTCAAAAGTCATACAAATCCTACTCATGCCTTCGTTATATATAAGAGACCCTCTCAGAACCATCTCAGATAAATGAAACTCGTCCCACTTCCTCGTTTAATAGATGTCCATCATATATTTCTTACAGAATACCCCTTATCCCTTAGGCCTTTTATGCAGACTTAAGTCGACCTTCTGCTGACCTATTCCATACCTAGGACAACTTCTTGAGATTAATGAATTCTTTCTAAATCCTTTATATAGCTAGAATACCTTCAAAAGCTTTCTATACATGTAAGACTTTTTGGAGCTCTAGAAACCCTTATTTATATCTAGGAGACTTTCAGATTTTTTTTTTCTAAAGGTAGAAGTCCTTTAAAATCTAGAATGTCTTCTGGAATTTTACTGTATTTTGAAGCACTTATAAATCTCCCACATACCTGGAAGCTCTTCTGAAATTCTTCCTAGCTAGAACTAGTTCATTAGTGTATGCCTTACGAACCTACTGCAGCTCTTTTATAGTTGGCAGGTCTTCTGAAGTTCTTTTTAAACCTCAGCACAATGTAGACCTTACGAAGTCCTTGAAGACCTTCAAAAATTCTTTCTCGGATCATTTATAGCTAGACGTTCCTTTTATATCGAACCTCAGCTCATTGTGTAAAGCAGTAGAGTCCCTATCATGCTCTCCTATACCTAAGAGACCTTCTAAAAATTTGCGTAGCAAGAAGACGTTCATCAGTTCTTGCTGAATTAGCGAACCTTTTGCAGTTCATATAAAGGTAAAGATTCTGAAGTTCTTCTATAGCTAGAAGTCTTTCTGAAGCTCTCTAGAAGACCTTCTTGAAATCTTCTAAAACTATATTTATTTCTGTAGTTCTTCTTTTAGACAATAAGACTTTTTGAAGCTCGCCAATACCTAGAAATCCCATTAATACTCTTTTATAGCTTGAAGACTTTCTGAAGGTCTTCTAAAGATATACGACATTCTGAAGCTCGCTTATGGTTGACGAAACCTCTAAAGCTCTTTTATAGATGTACGTTCTTCTATAGACATGCCTCAAGAGGTCCATATGAGACTTCTGGGTCTAATACAGGAAGATTTGTAGAAAACGATTAAGTAAGTTACCTCAATGATAACATCTGGTCTACCTTCTTCGTATATCTACTTTACGGATAGTTTTCAGGAAGATTTGTAGAAGATTGGACGAAGAACTGTAGAAACTCTAATGAACGATTAAGTAAGTTACCTCAAGGATAACTTCTGGTCTACCTTCTTCGTATATCTACCTTATGGATAAATAAATAATTGATAAATAATACCCCTAGGAATATAGAAGTGCTTTTTCCAGGTCTTCTACAGATAGATATTCTAAGGGAAAATTTCTAGGTCTTATACAGAATAATTTTAGGTATGTTATACGAAGACCTCTAGTTCTCTAAACAAAAACTGATTAGCGGATTCCATGCCCTTGGGGCGTATTATAAGAAGGCCTCTACGTCTGCTATAGGACAAATGTTGGTCCTCTGCAGAATTTCTGTAGGAAAACGACTAAGTCTATAAGGGTTATATTGGTCTGGTATAGATCGACTTCTGGTCTTTTATATAAGGAAACATCTATAAGAACTGTCTATGCAAAAAAGATTCCATTTAGAATATCTCCAGGAGAATTATTTTCAAACTTTATGAACTGATTTCAATTTCCTCCCTCTTATTACAGAGCCGTTGAAGATCTCAAAATGCTGATAGCACCCGATGCTGCCACCCTCATCTCACAGGGCGATTCATTGGTTTTGGAAACGCATGGCAAACAGGGTTCTCTGTCGCGTGTCGTTATGAAGAGTCAAATTATTTTGCGCGAGAAATTCCGTGAAGTCCAACAATCAAAGTAAATATGAAGAGAAATCATGACAAAAAAATTCCAAGAGTGTTGCTCACGAGATTTAATATTTTGTTGACAATTTTTTTCAGATCAAAAGTCTGTCCTGCCTCAACTGCTGCCTCATCATCCGATTCACCTTATTCATCGTTGGACAAGAAGGTCGTCAGCATGAAAGGTGTCAATTTGGAAGAATTAATTGTTAAAGGCCTTAAACGTATCAATGATTTAATTGCCCGCCCAGTGGATCGTAAATCTGTCGACGAGTTGGAGAAACGTCTGTCGGAAATTAATGTGAGTTAAAAATAGACTTTTGGTAGGGAAAACAACAAAAATAAATTTTATTATTATTTATTGCTTTTGTCGTAATGAAAATGCTTTATTGTTAGTTTTTTTTTTTAATTTTCTTTATTTTGTTGCTAATTTTTTTATATCGTGGGAAAATACATTTTTGTAGAATTCGTCACATTGTTAGTCAGATAGTGTTTAAAGAAAATACAGTGGCTGGCATAAATGTTGCGAATTTTGAAAATTAGGAAATATAATATGCTTATAGTGTATATTTATGTAGGCCTATTAAGGGGTTTGAACTTGTTAGAAATATTCAAATTTTTTATACAACCTGAAAATGTTGAAATTTATTATTAAATTATCAAAAATCAATCATTTAAAAATTTTGGCGTTAACCACACTCGCGCTCCCTTGGCAATTTTCCACCTTTGCAATGTGCGCGCTTTCCCGTCCGTCGATTCATTGATTGATTGATTGTATTTTAATTAAACTATTATAATTTATTTTCCAAATTGGTGATATATGTGCATATACACATACATATATATTATTTATTCAATGCTTTCATTCAATGCCCAAAAGCCACAACCGAACATCTGCTTTCATGAAATATTATTCGGACGTCTGTCTGATCATCCATTATAAATTGATTTGAATTTGGTTGCATCCATCCATTTGGGCGTGTGACGCTGTTGTTTTTTGTCGATTTTTTATAGGTTTGTACTGAACAGTTTCCAAGAGGAAAAAAAATGAAACCAAAAAATATATTTCATTAAAATTATGTTACTGCTGTGGCTGGTTTTTCTGGCGGGCATGCATAGATCAAAAATGTGTCGTCTATAACATTTTTCTCCGTAACAAGTGGATATTTTTGGGGGAGCTTTTGTTTAATTGATTTCTTAAGGTGGTATTTTTGTTTTTCGGTATATTAGGGTGGATAGATTGAAGTGAGCCTAGAAGTTAGTACTCAAATGGATAATAAGAGGTATATTTTTGAATCCGATTTGGTACATTTTCAAATCATATTGATTGCTCTTTGCAAAAAATTACCAGTGACATCTTCGAAATAAATTAAATTTCATAAATAATCGGAATGACTGCAACTTCACATATCGGAATCTCAAAAGATATACTGGTCAACATTACACCAAATTCTCAACACTGTCCTCATCGAAATATTGGTTTTAGATCCCATGTTTTATTGGACGTACTTTTTTATCAAATTCTGATCCGAATATGGGACAAACTTTGTGAAATTTCTCCCACATAGTTCCGATTTGATACAAACTCTTAACATTGTAATAGTTTACCACACCTATATACAGTCTGAAGTTGGAACCCAATGGTCCACTTCTTCTGGTTCTTCCATTCTAGAGGTAAACATTTTCAAATGTTGTCAATTTCATATAAAGTGAATGCGGTATCTGATTTTATCCATTGATCTTAATATTTTTAACCGAACCTACATTAAATCCGAAGATGAGGTCAGGTAACTCCCCACAAATAGTAAACTCTTTGATAAGAACTTATCTATATTAAAATCAGTAAGGAAAGTAGTAATGTATGATATCCTGAAGAAGTGACGAAATCAAATGTGTGGACTACATAGATATTTGAACTAATTTAAAACAACCTATACACATACCATTCTGAAATCTATGAAAAATTGCATGTCAATCGAACGGACTTGGGTTCTTTGGTGTACCATTTGTATGAAATCGAGCACAATTATGTATTGGATCTTTATGTAAATCTGGACGTATTTGAGCAACCATTTGGTATGCTGTTCAAAATTTATCCCGATGGGAGAAACGGTTATTATTTGGTGTACAATTTGCATGAACTCACAGGAAAATATAGAGCATATATATCAACATATGCACACATTTTACATAATCCAATATAGGTTATTCTAGGTTTAATTTGGTTAAATCGGAGGAAAATATATATGGGAGCTATATCTAAATCTGAACCGATTTTCTCGAAACTTAAGACACACCATTCTAGACTCAAGGATATATAGGTACATTGGTACACCATTTACCTTAAATCGGACGAAAATATTCATGGGAGCTATATCTTAATCTGAACCGATTTTCAGGAAACTTAAGACACTCCATTCTAGACTCAATTTAGTACGCTATGCCAAATTTCGTACAAATTGAAGGATATATAGGTACATTGGTACACCATTTACCTTAAATCGGACGAAAATATTCATGGGAGCTATATCATAATCTGAACCGATTTTCATGAAACTGAAAACACATCATTCTTGACGTAATTCAATACGCTGTGCCAAATTTCGTGAAAATTAAAAGATACGCATTGACTTTGGTGCACCATTTACCTTAAATCGGACGAAAATATATATGGCAGCTATATCTAAATCTGAACCGATTTTCTCGAAACTTACGATTTTTCTCAATTTCAATAGGGTTCGTCCTTGGGCCAAATAAATGAGCTGTGCCAAATTTCATCCAATTCGAATCATAAATGCGACCTGTACTTTAATTACAATTGAACATGGACAGACATACGGACGGATTCTATGCGTATTCTCAAAAGGAACCATGTGTCTATCTCGATTCCTTTTGCCTGTTACAAACATATTCACAAAGTCATAATACCCTGTACCACAGTGTGGTGATATATCGATATATAAATATACTATGTGTACTAAATTTGAATTTGGGTGAACTGGAAATAAACGGTACCAAATTTACTATAGAGCTAGATTTCTGTTGCGGCCAAAATTGGTAAAGCTACTTATCCCGAGCCACCGGACACAGCACAGAAAAAATTTACAATCTGGAGTTAACGACTAAAATATATTATATACAACACAAATTGAAGCATAGTAAGAAGTTTGTCACGAAACCGAAAATCCCTTCAACTGCCCAGAATGACAAAATTCCGTCCATTCTATAGGTAAACTACTGAAAACATATAAAAATTTGGGAGAGTTTTTTATATGGGCCGATATTTGAAAACATGGACCTGCAATGAAATAATTCCGCGAATATTTTGTTTATCCTCACCACATATAATGGTCATGAAAATTCGGCTAAAACGTACAAAATTCTAAAAATATGGCCTACGAAGGCGTCGATTTAAAAAAAACAAAAAACATATTTTTCTAAGCCCTGCGAAGTCGTAGAATTTTTAGAGAATTTTTTTATAAGGCATTGTGAAATGTTTGCTGCTAACCCTATATCTAGGTTACGGCTATTGATGGCATGTCAAAATAAATAAATATTTTAACACGTATCATTTTTCTATCTCGAGTTTTTGTAAGTTTTTATCAATATTATCTTGGACCGTAAAGTAAATATTATAAGGCAAAATTTGTTCACATCTGAATATTTCTCAAAAATTTCGCTCATAACTTTTTAGATAGAGCCGCCAAAGACAAGAAATCAACATTCGCCTGTTTTCGTCGTCCTTTTCCATTTTTAATTATTCCATTACACCCTGATATATATCACTTCTGTTTTTGGTCTTCCCCAACCCACTGTGCCTAATTAGTGCAATTTTTTGTTATTTCCAAAAATAAAACACCAAAAACCGAGTGACACAAATAACTTCCCGCTGCCGCAGGCTAATAGAACGCACATCAAACATTCTTGCTAAATGTTTTCTTAAAAGGGGAGAAATTAAGAAAAACATTTATTTTCCGAAAAAAAAATAGAAAACCGATGTTTGATTTTGTCTTTGCCTAAAAATAAATAAACATAAACAATGAAAACAGTGGCAGCAGACAGAAAGACAACACAATTAACTTTGTCACAATTCTCTCATGCGTCCTCTCTCTCTCTCTCTGTCTCAAGGGGGGCCACACCAAGAGATCGACTCTTCTTTTTGAAATGGCTAATCAGGCATAGCATAATTTTCACGAAAACAAAAAAATTTCCCGAAATGAAAAACAAAGAGATCGATTTCCACAAAAGATTCTCAAATGAGAGAAATGAGTTTTTAATTTTCACAAACAAAATTCTAATTGAAAAATCCGTTCACTTCTCACCCACAACAAACCGTTCAGGCAATATTTTGAAAGCGTAACGAAACAAAGGCCGAGATACGTTAAATTTTTTTTCTTACGGAAAACGCGTTGTGTATTGTTTTTTTTGGTGTTCGGGATATATATTTTTGAAAAAAGTAACAAACATAAAATTAATTTTTGAAAATAAATCCAGTTTCTTTTTCTAAATTATATCCCATTGAAGATTTTGTTTCCTCCTAAACTTTTTACAGATTTTCTGCTCCTACTCCGTCTCATCTCTCTCAAAAAAATTCAATTGCTTTTCCAAACTACTGGAAAAAAGTTTCATTAGAAAGTTTTTCCTACAATTTGTTTCGGTTTTATTTTTTGTATTTTATTTCGATACGAACTACAAAAAAACGAAACAAATGCAATATTGTTGGCTAGCACAAAACGTCAGTACAAGTGTCTGCCGCACCATAAACTATTAGTGTTGTTGCAGTTTTTTTATTGTTTTTGTGTTTTGCTCTTGTCTAATGGTGAATTGCATAGATTTGTGAATGTCGGCGCGCTTGCATGTGAACGATAATCGGGCGCCACTTTTATTGTATTTATTTTCAAAAATTGCTAAGTGTTTCCGGACAATAATACAATAAACTTTTGCAAATATCGAATTGATAACATGAACAAATATATTTTGAGAAAAGATAAAGCTCTGTTACGGATATATTTTTGGAAAATTGAAAAAAAAATATTTCCTTTTGTCAAAGCCTAACATAAAAAAGTTTTGCAGTGTATTATAACACAGTGATTTTTTAAAATATTTTTTAAAGAATATTTTTGGAGTCCTTACAAGGCGTAGAATTTTTTAAGAATATTTTTTGAAGGCCTCGCAAGGCGTAGTCTTTTTAAAGAATAGGACATATGGTTCCTTTTGAGAATATGCATAGAATCACTTTCTGAGTCGATTTTCGCATGTCCGTCTGCCCGTCCGTCTGTCTATCCGTCCATGTATTTTTGTTAACAAAGTACAAGTCGTATTTATGATCCGATTTGGATGAAATTTGGCACAGTTCACTTATTTGGCCCAAGGACGATCCCTATTGAAATTGGGAAGAATCGGTTCAGTTTTAGATATAGCTACCATATATATTTTTGTCCGATTTGATGTAAATGATGAACCAAACTCCCAATATTTGTCCGATTGGGACGAAATTTTGCACAGCGCACTTAGTAAGGTCCATGCTTATGTGTGCGGAATCGGTTCGGTTTTGTTGGAATCGGTTCAGATTTAGATATAGCTCCCATATATATAGGGGTCCGATTTTATGTGAATGATTCACCAACCTTTCAATATTGTCCGATTGACTCAAAATTTTGCACAGAGTTCTGAATTAGGTCCAGACTGATGTCTGCAAAGTTTTGTTAAAATCGGTTCAGATTTAGATGTAGCTCCCATATATAGTTTCGTACGATTTTTTAGTGAATGATACACCAAACTTCCAATATTTGTCCGATTGGGAAAAAATTTTGCACAGAGTACTGATTTAGATCAAGACCGATGTCTGCGAAGTTTAGTTAAAACCGGTTCAGATTTAGATATAGCTTCCATATATAGTTTCGTCCGATTTTATGTGAATGATGCATCAAACTCCTAATATTTGTCCGATTGGCACAAAATTTTGCACAGAATACTGAATTAGGTCCAGACTATTGTATGCGAAGTTTTGTTGAAATCGGATCAGATTTAGTTATAGCTCCCATATATAATTTAGTCCAATTTTTTGTGAATGATGCACTAAATGTATGCGAAGTTTTGTTGAAATCGGTTCAGATTTAGATATAGCTCTCATATATAATTTCGTCCGATTTTTTGTAAATAATACACCAAACTCTCAATATTTGTCTGATTGAGTAAAATTTTGCATAGCGAATGCTATTGAGACAAAATGATGCTTGATAAGGTTTGTTTCGTTTGATTTTATGTAGAGGGTGGTTACACCAAATTTGGCAGAAGGTGTTAAATTGAATATAGTTATTACAAAAAAAAAAGTGAAAAGACGTTAAGTTCGGCTGTGCCGAACCATAGATATACTGACAGGTACTAGAAATGAAAATATAGGGAACATACCAAAAAGTGGGTCTATACCGACATGTCTAAAAACGGATTATGTAAACCATGATACAAGTTTCAGAAATTTTTAATTGATAATTCAAATTCGAAGATGGGAATAGGTCTAACAGCAGCTATATTTCATTATCGAACCTAACGTTCTAACTTTTTATCTCGCTATCCTCCGCAGGTGAAATGATTACAATAGAGTCTTAGAACCAAACTCAAAATGCGGAACAAATCAGATAACTATTTTAATATAAAAAGGGGGTTATATGGGGACTACCCCAAAAAAGGGAGCGAATATTAATAATTTTTGGTAGAGAGATTTGTTACCATATACGACTACAAAATGCCAAATTGCAGCAAATTCGGTTGAAAAACGCGCTCAAGAGCCCCAAAATACCGAAAATTGGGGGTACCCTTCTATGGGGGCTATCCGAAAAAATGGACCTATATTCATAATTTTTTTGGAGAGATTTGGTACCTATTAAGAACTCAAAATACCAAATTACAGCCAATTCTATGAAAAATCTGTTCAAACCCCCTAAAAACTGGAAATGGTCCTCCAAAGATTCTATGACCATTCTATCTACAGGATATGGTAGATATTAACATGTCTTGCATGCACCCAAAGTGGTGAAGGGTATCATATAGTCGGCACCGTCCTACTTTGGAACTTTCCTTACTGGTTTAAATAATGTTTTTCAAAGCCTAGGGTATAGCAAAGGCACAGAATACTTTAAAAATTGGTCTATCAAATTTGGGGAATTTTATATCCGGTTTCGTCTTCTTAGAATATGAACTACGTCTTCGTAAAAAAATTATTAAAATAGGTTCATGTCTTAGCATTGCCACCGTATATATGTGCCCCAGATTTTTAGGTATTTTAATGGTTGTAGCCTCATTGCCTAATCAGTATGGTTCTACATAGGAATTTCATTTTCAGAACATAAAATATCTCCTGGCAGAATGTTTTTACTATTGGCCAATGTTTTCGCATAACCCTGTTATGAAGATCTCGCACCATGTTTAGCATGGTGATGGTCCTAGCCAATTTTTTCCAACCCAAGTTATTACATCTTTGAAATGCCCTCCTCATATTGGAGAGTATGAAATATTGGACCTATATTAAAATTAATTATATCCCACTTATTTTATTATCAACATCAAAGACATATTTTTAAATCACCATAGTCCCTATTACTTCATCAATTGTCAATTATTTGTGGCATTTCAATTTTTTTCTGTTCCTGTTCCTGTCACTGTCAATGTTATTTGTTTGTTTGTTTCTAACACTGTGTGTGTTCTTTTTCTGTTCGTGAAGTCGTCCACTTTGTTTTTATAAACTTTATCTATGAACAAACTTTTTTCTATTTAATTTCACTTTTTTCTTTCATCGACATCACTTATCTGGTTTGGTTTTGTTTGACAACTGTCCATGTTTTTTGTTTTGTTTTGCAATGAGAATCTAGTTTTTTTTATCATTTTTCTTCCATCGAATCTTTATTATTTTTCTATTTATTGTTTTTACTGTTCTCTTCCTTCACAGGATCGTCGTGACGATTTGAAATTGATTGTCAATGCCATTGGTAAAAGTGAACAAATGCCAAAAGTTAGTTCAGCCATGATGAATGATATTGAAAAGGTAAGCAGCAGCAGAAATGGTGGAAAGTTTTTTTCCTCATCTTCTTCTTCTTGGAACTTATGATGGATGTTCATTTTTATTTGCTCTTTTTTCTTTTCCTTTTTTATCATATTTTTTCTTATTTTTTTTCCATAGACCAAGAACAATCTCCAAACACATGCCGATACCATAGAAATGTCATTAACAGAATTGAAATCAAATAAAAAGCTGAATAACACCAATGGCAGTCGGGGTAAGTTTTAAGAAAAATAGTTTATAAGAAAAATCTGCATATATTCTAATAGCAGAAAGAGAACTATTTGCGAAAAATAAATATATTGATAAAAAAATCAACAAGAATGCCCTTATATAGTAGACGTCAAGCCCTACACATTGGAAGGATGGTTTATAAAAACTCTTATGTGTATGGAAAATATAGAAGGCATTATTCTAGCAATCCGCCTATGGAATTTATTATGTTTATAGAATAATATAGAAAGCCTATCTAAATGTTCCGTATGTGGATGACTTTTTATAGGTCATAGATTAATTACGAAGACATAGATTTTTTTAAGAATAATTTTCTAAGGCCTACGAAAGCTTCGATTTTTTAAAGAAAATTTTTAAGACCTCAGAAGGCGTAGATTTTTTAAAGAATATTTTTTAAGGCCTCAGAAGGCGTAGATTTTTTAAAGAATATTTTTTAAGGCCTCAGAAGGCGTAGATTTTTTAAAGAATATTTTTTAAGGCCTCAGAAGGCGTAGATTTTTTAAAGAATATTTTTTAAGGCCTCAGAAGGCGTAGATTTTTTAAAGAATATTTTTTAAGGCCTCAGAAGGCGTAGATTTTTTAAAGAATATTTTTTAAGGCCTCAGAAGGCGTAGATTTTTTAAAGAATATTTTTTAAGGCCTCAGAAGGCGTAGATTTTTAAAGAATATTTTTTAAGGCCTCAGAAGGCGTAGATTTTTTAAGGCCTCAGAAGGCGTAGATTTTTTAAAGAATATTTTTTAAGGCCTCAGAAGGCGTAGATTTTTTAACGAATATTTTTGAGTGCCTTACAGGGCGTAGATTTTTTAAAGAATATTTTTGAAGGCCTTACAGGGCGTAGATTTTTTAAAGAATATTTTTGAAGGCCTTACAGGGCGTAGATTTTTTAAAGAATATTTTTGAAGGCCATACAGGGCGTAGATTTTTTAAAGAATATTTTTGAAGGCCTTACAGGGCGTAGGATTTTTAAAGAATATTTTTGAAGGCCTTACAGGGCGTAGGATTTTTAAAGAATATTTTTGAAGGCCTTACAGGGCGTAGATTTTTTAAAGAATATTTTTGAAGGCTTTACAGGGCGTAGATTTTTTAAGGCCTCACAAGGTGTATCTCGTAACCAATCGATCCCATTTTTTAGCGAGCTACAAAAATCCATTCTCCTAACCTTATAAATATAATTTCATAATTCCATATTTCCGAGCTTTGACTATGGAGAATTTTTCCTTCTGAGGTTTTCATATACACACCTTTCATATCCAATAAATATTTTCCAGAATTTTCCTTCTAGGCCATGACCTTGATTTTGTCTCACAGTGTAATTGGTCATTAACCTTCCCATTCGTCTTTGATTTGTTGTCAAAATTGTATAAATTCGTCTATGAAGGCTGTGTTGAAATGTGAATCTTCTCCTAGAAGGAATCGAAGACATGGACATATATAGAAATATGTCGTCATGCGTCTACAAATACGGCGGCTACTTACTTACTTAGATGGCATGTGACAGAACTTTCATTCCATAAGCCGAGCTTAAAAAAGATTTCCAGTCGCGTCGGTCTTTTGCGCAGTTTTTCCAATTTAAAAGACCATATTCAGCAAAGTTGTCCTCCTCGTGGCCTTCCCCTTCTGCGTGAACCATCAGCTGGTTCGCTTTTATATGCCTTCTGGGCTGGGGCATCTTCATCCATTCTCACAACATGACCTAGCCAACGTAGTCCCTGCAGCTCAATACGTCTAACAAAGTCGATGTCCGAGAATAGCTGGTACAACTCATGGTTCATTCGACGGCGATATTCACCGTCCACGCAGATCGGCCCATAGATCTTTCGGATAATTTTTCCCCCAAACACTCCAAGAGCTGCCTCATCTGCTTACGCAAGTACCCATGCTTCCGATCCATATAATAGCACGGGTAGTATCAGCGTCTTGTAGAGAGGCTGAGTTTGGTCTGGCGGGAGGTGGCCTTGCTTTTGAGTTGTTTGCACAGACCATAGTAGCATCTGTTGGCCATCACTATCCTTCTCCGAATTTCAAAACTGATGTCATTCGTTTTGTTTATGGAGGTACCAAGGACGTCTTGCGCATTGATACCATAAGCTTGGTCTTCTCGTTCCGTTCACTGCCAGACCCATTTTGGCAATCTCCTTCTCAATTTGTTCAAAGGTGGCTGTTACCGCTCTCAGTGTTCGACCCATTATGTCGATGTTATCGGCGTAGGCGAGTAACATGTGTTGTTTGGTGTACAGAGTGCCATTTCTGTTTACTTTTGCCTCTCGTATGACCTTTTCCAGCAGGATGTATAAAAGGTCACACGACAAACTGTCACCTTGTCTGAATCCTCGTTCTGTATTAAAGGGCTCCGAGAGGTCCTTCCCGACTTTAACTGCTGATCTTGTGCCAGTTAAAGTTATCCTGCATATCCGTGTTAATTTTGCCGGAATACCAAACGCAGACATGGCTTTAAACACCTCTGAACGGATAGGGCTGTCAAATGTAGCCTTATAGTCGACAAATAGGTGGAATGTGTCGATGTGTTTTCGTGGGTTTTTTCCAGTATTTGGCAGATTGAAAATATGATTTTTCCTTGCTTTTTCATAGTAGGTTCGGTTTTTTTCCGAGTGTGGGCAACTAACCCGACGTCTCAACCAATTTTTTTTATAGTTCTTATGGGTGAGCTCGCGGCACAAAAATAGCTACCCCAGGTGGTGGTACCACGGGGAGGCGAGTTTCCACAATTGAGATGAAAAAGGGACCAAGATAAGCCTGGACTTCGCCATGTTAAAGCCGTTGCTTGGTATCTATCATCCCCTACGCCACCTCGGCGGCTAGGACCTTCAAAATACATATAATGTGGAGAAAACTTAATATAGGGGAAATATTAACAAATGGACATATATTAATTTTGACTGAAGGTCTGTAATCCTCTCCAAAATGCTAACATGAATCCACTGTGATATGTGAAACAGAGGCAAGGACCTTTAAAGTACCATAAATTAAGCGGAATCTTTACATATAGGGCGAAGTCAAAATATACAATATAGGAGACCAATCTCCTCTCGATCTCCTTGTTGAGTCTTATTATGGATTATCAATGAGTCTTATTATGAGACAAAACAATATAAGATTTTATAGAACTTCTAGCGGATCTCCTCCTGCATGGAAAAACAACAAGTTCTCTTATAGCTTTATTGCTATGGTGGAGCATTTGTCTTCATATAGACATATAGGTTCAATAGGTATTTATTTATCGGAATGTTATTTTTTTATAGAAGACCAACTGGTCTTCTTATAGAAGATTAAAAGGTTTCTTCATAGAAGACCAATCGATCTCCTTCTATAAGAATCATCATCTTGGCTATCATTTTTATAACAGACCAACAGGTCCTCCTATTGGAGGAATTTTGCCTTCAATTGCTCTTCTTATAGAAAACTAAGAGGTATTGTTATTTCGTACTGAAGTCCATTCTACCCAATTATCTTTGTATTCAGTTGTTGTCCATAATTGTTGTTGTAACCACATGTTAACAACATTGATGGCCATCACTTTGTAATGCCGAAGGCCGTTGTCAATATTCATTTACATGTCAACAAAATTGCACTTTTCGAATTCACTTTTTCCCCAAAAACTGAACAAAGAACTGAACTAATTTTAATTTTAAAAACTGTCAGTGACACACACACACACAGACAGACACAAAGTATGTTTGAAATCTCAATTTAAACTATGTACATTAGGGTGGATCGAAAAGAGCCAATAATTATTAGGACTTCCTATATCTCTCCAACATTAAAGAATATTTGCTCACAACCATATCCTGGACGTTTTTAAAAACTTTATTTTTGGATTACTACTGAAGAGGGTTTTTCGAAGAATAATTCTGACTTTTCTAGGACTATTAGAGTCAGAATTTATCATGCAATTATTTTTCAATGACTACTGAGGTATAGATTTTTTTTTAAATTCTATAACGCTGTTAGATTTTTAAATAATCGCTATCAGAGCCTTAATCGAAGCTTATATATGCCTTCTATTGAAAGACTTTCTGGTCTTCCCTTGTAGAGCTATAATTCGTGTGTTTTGAGAACAAAGACTCTCTGACCTTAAGGTGGCGATACATACGAGAATTTCAGGCTTGGCATGATAAGGTGGCATTGTTTAATGCAAAAGAATAAATGAGAATGGTGTCCAACCTCATATTTGACTTTGATATTCCTTTTTTAATATATACCCTCAACCATAGTATGGAGGGTATATTAGTTTCCTTTTTTCGTTTGTAACTCATCGAACTAATCATTTCCGACCCTACAAAGTATATATATTCTTGATCAGCGTAAAATTCTATGACGATTTAAGCATGCCCGTCTATCCGCCTGTCTGTTTTTTCTTGAGCGCGTTTTTCAACCGCATTGATTGCTTATTGGGTACCAAATTTTTCCACTAAAAATTATAAATATAGGTCGATTTTTTCGGGTAGCCACCATATAAGGGTACCCCCAATTTTCGGTTTTTTGGGGTTCTTGCGCGCGTTTTTAACCGAACTCGCTGTAATTTGGTAATTTGTAGTCGTATTTGGTAATAAATCTCCCTACCAAAAATTATTAATATTCACCCCTCTTTAGGGGTAGTCCCCATATAACCCCCTTTTTATACCCTCCACCATAGTATGGAGGGTATATTAATTTTGTCATTCCGTTTGTAACTCATCGAAATATCCATTTCCGACCCTATAAAGTATATATATATATATATATATTCTTGATCAGGGTAAAATTCTAAGGCGATCTAGCCATGTCCGTCCGTCTGTCCGTCTGTTGTAATCACGCTATCTTCTTAAGGAATTGAGATAGGGAGCTGAAATTTTGCATAGAGTCGTCTTTTGTCTGCAGGCAGGCCAAGTTCGAAGATGGGATATATCGGTCCACGTTTAGGCATAGCTGCCATATAACAGTACCCTCCAATTTTCGGTATTTTGGGGTTCTTGAGTACGTTT